CCTCCCTCCCCAACTCCTTCCTCACTCCCCGATCCCATCCCCCCGATCCCAACCCCGTTCCTGCTTCCCCCACCTTCCTCCCCCAGCCCCATCCCCCCCGCCCCCCCCCCCCCACCCCCCCCCCCCCCCCCCCCCCCCCCCCCCCCCCCCCCGTCGCTCCCCTCCTTCCCCCGACCTTCGCCCCCCCCACGTGCAACCCATGCGCGACCCCCGGGTCTGCTCTTCCAACCTGCGCGACTGTCCTCCCCCCCCGTCCCCGCCCTATCATCATCATCATCATCATCATCACCAATCTACCTGTGCCCAATCAATAGTAGATAGGATCGCTCCGCCCTCGATTTACATCCAAATTCATTTTATTCATTTCTAGAATCCATTTTATATTCTTTTTTTTTTTGTACATTCGAAAATACTCATGTCTTTCTCAAACGTATTTTCTTTTTCGAAATTTTCGAAATGGATCAAATAATCCTTGGCCCTAACCTGACTAGAGATGGTACGACCCTTCCACTTTTTCCCCTTGTCCAAGTCCTTATGCCAGAAAGTGGATACTGGCATAGGTTGTGCCTCAAACAGCACCACCTCTCTACTCAACGTATTGTACGTCATGGTGGGTTGTCGGCTCTTTTCAAAGAAGTGCCCACGTAGGGGTTCTGGCATGGCACGATAGAAGAGGTTGACCAACTAAGCCTCAGTGACCCCGTGGTCTGGGACGGCCACAAGCTCGTTCATTACACATTGAATGCCCTTGCACTCCTCCACTGGCGTGAGTGGATGGTCTGCAGCTTGTCAGAGACCCTAAAGCCTCGCGCGACATCTACAAATCGCTCTCTAAGCAGTCGGAAGAATTCAGGAAGAGGAGTAATCTTTGAGTAGGCTACCATATTGTTTTCGCACTGTGCAGCGTGGGCGAGCGATCTAGCGAAGCTGGCTGCTTCGTCTTTGAGGGACTGAAATGCGATGAGGATTTGTTCCTCCGCAACGATCTTCTGCAAATGCACATAAGTATTTACGTTCGCCTCCCAATTGTCAAAAATTTCTTCCTTCTTCCCACTGTAGGGTTCAGGAAATTTAAGCTTCACGGGCTCTCTACGGGAACGTACCTCCTCCTCCTTTGGGGCGGCCAGCTTTGCGCCCTCAATGGCGCCTGTGCACAATTTTTCGGTGCCCTCTATCCTCGTCTACACTTCTGCACCTACGTGCAGCATCATCTCTCGTGCAAAGTCCCCGAATCCACGCGAATGGAGTGTAACACAATATCTTGGGCTCTATCAAACTGATGTTGCTCATCCCAGGCTTTAGCTAGAAGTTTTATATTTAACGTTATAATATCAAATTTTCCTTGTATATCTGCTTGCGTTCGAATCTCCTCCCTCTGCGCCTTTATCGCCTCCAACTCCTGCGCCATTTTGTTCGCCTCATCCATCCTCCTCCTCTTCTCCTTAGTGAGATGTAACTTCCACTTAACTTCTTCTCCTCCTCTATAGTCTGGCGTCGCAAGGGGTCTTTTTCTGCCTCCCACTCCCTGATAACTGCTTCCTTCTCCTCCGGGGGAACATACAACATGGCTTCTTCCTCTTCTCCCAGAGATAAATTTGCTACCCACTAAGAGATTTTTTTCTCCATCCAGGAATCCTCCTTCTTTGTGCCACTGGACTCTCCTCTCTGCCCTGCACGTCTTCTGAACAAGGGCTCTTCCTTTTCCTCCTCCTCTTCAATCTCTTACTCTTCTACAACTTTCATCTTTTCTTCCTCCTCCTTCAATCTCTCCATCTCTTATTCCAACTTCTTCCTCTTCGCCGCCTGCTCCTCAAGCAAGGCCAACTTCTTGGCCTGTCTAATCAACTCCTTCTTGGTCTCTTTCTCTTTTCTCTCTTGCAATATGCCGGCGGGTTGCTCTTCCTGAGCTTTGGTGTAAGGGGTGGTGCTCTTGCCACTACGCAGGTCAACCATGGTGAAAGGTGTACAACTGGAAGTCGGTTCCACTCCTCACCACTTAGACTAAGACTGACTTAATCTAAGGACCACAAAATCTTTTCAAGATCCTGTCAACTATGGTCTCTAGCCTAGACCTAAACTAAGGCTTTCACTACAACACTTACTGTTGATCAGGGGGCATTTAAGGAGATCCCCCGTAACTCCTCAGGAATTATTTAGCGTCGCAAACAGAACGACGCGATCAGCAAGTCCTCTCAAGACTTAGACAGCTTGTTGTGCAGCCCACAGCTCGGATTTTGGGCCTACTGTGCCACACCGAGCAGCCCGCCGGTCTGTACCGGTCCTTGGGAGGGTCCGTGTCCTCCGGGTCAGTCGAGTAGTCAGACACAGCCTTTAGCCCTACTCAGCCCGTGAGGATGTGGTCAACAAAGCTCTATGACCACATACACAGAGTTCCTATCACCTAGACAGAAGAGATTCAATGCAGAAAGAAGAGACAGACAGACTCAGCAAGTACCATGGGGTGAGTGCACATCCATAGGGCGAAGGGATATGCTGAAGGCTTGGCAAGAATATTCCAACTCCAGCTTGGTCAAATTCGTGGTCAACAGCTCTGGTGAACGCCTTGTCAACGCTTGCCAATGTCGGTCAAACCCCCGGTCAACACTCTGGTCAACCTCAGTCAACACTTTGGTCAACGCCTGAATCACTCTCTCTCTCTCTCTCTCTCTCTCTCTCTCTCTCTCTCTCTCTCTCTCTCTCTCTCTCTCTCTCTCTCTCTCTNCTCTCTCTCTCTCTCTCTCTCTCTCTCTCTCTCTCTCTCTCTCTCTCTCTCTCTCTCTCTCTTCGTCATTGTCTTCTATGCAGGTACGTGGCACTTCATTCCGCAGTGCAGCTATGGCGGATTTTTCTTCCTTCCGCGCACCTCAGCTATGGCGCCCACTGGCGCGCGTCTTTTTCCTAACGGCAACAACGATGGCGCATGGGGTAACGGGAACCAGCTCCGATACCAATGCAATCAGACCCGCTTCCTTTACCACTTTGCAAACAAGCAAACAGATGGCGATTCACACTGGCACATAGCGCCCACACAAAGCTCAGAGATATGGCAACCGAGTACACAGTTCAGATGTAGACTCGCTTCAACAGGCTATGGCGCAGCAGCGCCTGTACATCACAAGCTTCGTTTCTGTGTCCAACACCACTGTTCACCGGTACTCAACTCTGGATCACCCTGAATACACCCACGCACACTCACTCGATATCCCACACACACACACACTATTGGCTACCTGTAACCTACGGCGGCTATGGCCGCTCGTCACTACTGCTATGGCTACGATGTCTCCCTTCAGCCCACTTTGACTTCGGGCGACCTGTAGACCACCTCGCACAAGACGCTGTAGCAGCGCTTCCGCATGACTTACGCAGCGAATGAATGAATGGCTGGGCGCTGCCTCTTGAATTATACTTCTGTAACTCGTTGGTATGATCCCTTTCCACAGGCCCTGGTGCACACAGTCCCTCATGGTACTTGCTTGACTGGACTGCGACTGACTGGGACCGGTACCGCTGACTGCACGGGGTTGCACTGCTGACTCGATGCAGTCGCACTGCCGACTCAGTGCAGTTGGCTTACCACTTGCCCACTTGCCTCTAGCTAAACGTGAGACACTTTTGAAAGGCCACTTCCGGACCTTCCGGAAGTCTGTGGATTTGGCCTTTCGAGTACTGTAGCAGCTACGACCTTGACCTTTCAGGACTGTAGCAGCTACGACCTTGACCTTTCAGGACACCTACAGCTACGACCTCTATAGAGCTGTGACCCCCTACTCGACAGACCTACAGATCAAACCCCTACAACTACACAGACCTACGACAGAACAAACAACTACCGAAACACAGGTCTCGGGTTCAAACACTCGAGGGTCGACTCGATTTTGTACATGGGTAAGGTGAGGTCTGGGGATCGAACTCTAGGGCTGGCATCTGTGACTGCAAAAAGGTGAAAACCGTTTCATGATTTAATCTGCTTTTCAATCAAAGAATTGCATTGCTTGGATTCGCCTTCATCCATTCACTGTTCTTAATTGCCATTGTATCCTGTTGCTTGGTATGGTCCCTTGAAGGTCTGGGCTGCAGTGAATAATTATTTGATAGCACGACGGGGTGTTTCTTTTACGGAGTTCATAGCATACCATGCTATGCATACATCATGCTACACACACACACAACTTTCTTGTCTATGCTTTGCAAGTCTTGACATTGTTAGCTAAGTTGGCAAAATGTGTGCTTTGGCCTCTCAATTGGTCGGTTCATATTTTGATATTTACTGCCAGGGGCACGAGGTTTTGTTACCTTTGCTATGCTGTGCTTGACTTTTCTTTGTTTTTGCTCTCCTTGTCGTCAGTGTTGCATCCTATGTAATCACTCATCTAAGTTCAATTCAGTGATCCACTTTTGTTGACAGGCAACGTTTGAATCATTCATAGGGATCAAGGACGTGGAAGCAACTGACCAAGTGAAGCTCTTTGGTAACTACCTTCAGGTGTGTCACATTTCTGCACATCACATCAGATTCTGTGCTTATAATACTAAAGAACAAGGAAGGAGGTATCTATGTGATTAACCAAAGTATGATGATATTGACTTATAATAAGACTAGGTTCTTTCGAGATTCTAAACAGGATGCATTATGTCCAACCTAATTTTCACAGTAGCATGTGACAGCAGAACCTCTCGAGAATGAAGGAACTCATTTGCTGTAATTATGAAATGGTAGATTTGCCTGTTGGTGCAGAAGAAGTGTTGAAAGTTTCGCCAAACGTATTTTGACTAAATAAAAGAAAACCCACTAACCAAAATCTACTCTAGGATACGTTTGCGAGAGTATTGGCTCCCCCTGGCTGCCAAGAGTGCCTGGCTAGGTCTCAGGCAGCCCCGGTTCAAACTCAAGGAATTTTGTACCAAGAAATTCTTCTGAAAAAGAAAGCAAATGTTGTGTGGAATTGCAATGCAAGTGACTTTTGGTTGAGGGTCACCTCAGTAGTCGTTATAGCGTCAGGATCGCGTCAGTGGCCCTTTGGGCCCCCTGAGGATCATGCCACCTTTCCTCCACCATCTTCAGGAAGTCCTCCAATTTTTGGGTGACCGCCCAAGCGCGAAAGTCATGACCATACCCCTGGAGCTGCACTAAGCCGCTCAACCATCTTGCTGCACTACCCTCTAGGTAGGAAGCAGCCACAAGCACTTCTTCGTGCGGCAAGGTAATTTTACACCTGACATAGACTGGCATTGACCTCAACCATGTGTCGAGGTCTTCGACTCTCTTGTCCCCTGTGAAGGGTTTCGCAGCGGCTATGGATGTCTTTGGAACCCACTGTGCTTGTCCCGGTCCCTGCATCACGGCGGGCTGTGGACCCTGTGACACAGGTTGTTGTGCTAGCTGCTGGGGCTGTGTGCCCTGCGGCTGCACAGGCTGAAGACAGCAAGCTGTGTGGTGACAGCAACCTGCAACAGAGATTGGGTGTACACTGTCTGTACAGGAACCTGCAGACTAGTCCCTGCTGATACCCCTCCTGACAGCGGCAAGCCCAGGGAAACGATCGCTACCGACGATGGAGCTACATATGGAGAGCAGGTTAACTGAGCACCCATTTTTCAGGCCCATTTATAAGAAAACCAGACAGTCAAAAAAACCCTAAAAAAAGCAATTAAAAACATATAAAACAGCAAGCCAAAGGTGCATTTCCATGAAATTTGGCCCAAAAAAAACTCGACCAATTTCAATAATTTCAGAAATCTTAATAGCGCAAATTCTAAAACTCCAAATAACCCCAAATTTCATATACGGCAACCCTATCAAAATGCATATATAGCAAAAACTTGAAATTCCAAAAAAACATGAAATTTGAGCCCAAAACCCTAATTTCAGAAATTTCAGGCCTGAAAACCAGATGCCCCGTTAACCTCTTGTGGCTGGCGCTCGCCCAACCAACAGGGCCAGACTTTGCTGGATGTCGTGAAGGATGGTTGTTTGCTGGTCCTGCATCTCCACTACATTCAGCAGGACAGACCGGGATGATCCTCACATCATCCGTTACGTTCGTCAGGTCCATCTCCTCTAACTCACTAACGTTCGCTTGTTTACGTTGCATCCTGGCTCTTCTTCTAATCATCCTATCTTTCTCCGCTTTTATATCTCCTAACGCCTTCTGTAGCTGTGCCTCTTTTAGAGCTGCTTCCTGTATGGTCGGGGGTCAACACCAATGGCTGGCTCGCCATTATGCCAGTGGACTACTCTGGGTCTGCGCGACCGTTGACCCGACAGACCCTGAACTACCGGCCTGAGAGGACTGCTGTGCTGAGGTGGCCATGGCTTCGGAAGCTGCGGCTTCACACACAAGTGCCCTGCTAGCCTCTGCTGCTCTAGCCCTCCTCTGCTGCTGCTGCCTCTCCCTAAGCTGGTGGAACAAATGTTTGTCGCCCTCTGGTCCTAATGCCAAGTGGGCTACTGGGCGCCTTGCCGATCGCAAGATCCGGTCGTCCGGTTGCTGTTCCTCCCTATCGCTCATATGCTACAACCCTGTACACAATCTGCACGGGTCAACAGGTAAGTCAGATTCCTACAAATAAAACTATTTTTAGTTTGACTAGTTCACAAACAGAAGCATCATGAACAAAAGGCAGTTCTAACTAATGTTGTCTGTCAGATGTCAATGGTTGTACACCTAACTAATCAAAACATAAAAATAGAATTATTTGTGTGGATAGGACAGCATGGAATTTTTGCGAACTTATCACCTGTAATTTACCCCTCCCTTAGTTCCCCTGAGTATCACTTGACGTCAGCGTCCCTGAGCAATCCGGAGGCGTTGCGTGTCTAAAGGTGTGTGTCCGGCCCACCCCTGTGCCCCGAGTATCTGCTGAGCTGGCCAGCCCTGCACTGGATTATCCTCGCGTGCAGCGAGCCTTACAACCATTGGCTGATCCAGAGGCAATTTAACGTCCGCCCCCAAGTGACTCCAGGAATTCTTTTACGTCGCAGCCGGACGACGATCACAGCCAATGGTTCCCCTTCCGGTGCTTATTTAAAGACGCCCGGTCTCGTCTCCCTCAAGGGCTGGCCTGCCCATCAGTACCCATCTAACAGCGCAGCAAGCCGAATAAAGGACAAGCAGCAAGGCATGCGTGCTCTACTCCCTATGGGTTGGCATGGTGACCGTGATCCAGTGCTTCGTCCAGGGCCCTTCAGAAAGCTCCACCCATCTTCTCCCAGATGCTTCACGTGAACATTGTCGACTCTCAAGGTTGAGTGCACTCGACACCTCACAATGAGAGGTCTCTCAAGAAGAAACACACAACCTCACGGTAAGAAGTGTCGGAGAGAGTAGATAAGGTTAAGAGCAACGTACCTCAAATAGCTGCCCCCAACCACAAAGATAATCTCACCAGATGACCAAATGGCGATTGCGATGACCAGTCACTGCATCGGCACAACCAGCATTATCTCGCCATTCGACCTCAGCATCAATCGCACATTAGATAGTTCTCATCACACTGTCTAGACCACATTACCCCTCACGTAGCCTTCCTAGCGATCCCCTCACCTCCTGGGTCACCACTCACTCGCCTCCGCCCTCCTCACTTCACACCACTTACGGCCAAACTCGCCAAGCAGACCGCATGTATGTACCGTACCAGGCAGAAGACAAGCGCCAGATGAGCGCAAACGTGCCATAGTTCCGATACCAAATTGCAAGGAAGATGAGCAATAGCGAACTTCAGCAATCAAACAGCATCATACATATGAGTCCAGATAGTCGTGACCTCGAACCAACAGCAGAATTGCATCACGAGATTCACCAAATAAGAACACACCAAGAGTTCATAATTGACAATGCTGAAATAGTCTCATCATCGTCAACGAAGAACCAGAGTTGATATCCTATCTGGCGCTCGGCGCCCAGACTACATGTGGCAGATCCTATCTAGCCTATACTACGATGCAGAAAGATGACGTCAACAGCTTTCCCGAAGTACGAGCATATGGCGACCAATGTCGCACGCTTCCAGCACCAGGTATGTCTCTCGCCACACTCACAACCTCGTTCCCCAACACACAGATGCCACTAGCACCCAAGGACCACCCTGCGTCTCACCCAGCTTACAGCAGCGCAGCTCGGCTATGGCTGCGTGCTGCTTCCCTGCTCGCCCGTGAGAGCGTAGGCGCCAGCCAGCAAGTAGCGCAGCAGCGCTTGCGCAGCATGCAGCCAGCACCCGAATGCCGAATACGGAGGCAGGCCCTTTGCTATATCGAAGTGGCCTGCCTGCGTCCA